GGGGAACTCAAGAAGAAGGTTCGAAGAAGCCCGGGGTGGGTTGTGCTGACTATCTCGGATGTTTCGGGTTCAGGGTTCAGGGTTCAGCGTTCAGGGTTTAGGGTTTAGGGTTTAGTTTTTAGGGTTAGCCTACACCAGTTAGTGCCCTGCACCTTTCAGTAAGGCTCCCTAAGCCTCAAACCCGGCTAACTACCTCCACCCCGCAAGCTATATTATTATGGGGGCCTTGTGGGAACCTTAATGGAAGGTGTTTATGACTCGGGCAGTGGGCTTAGGCTGCAGGTGGTTCGGGTTTTTGGGTTTAGGGGTTTAGGGTTTAGGGTTGTTGGTTTGGGGTTCAGAGTTAGAGTTTGGGGGTTAGTGCAGCCGCCTTCTTCTTGAAGCTTGAACAAAGAGAGCCCGGTGAGTCCGACTGTCCTCACAGGGATCCCTTACTACTCCAAACCCCTGAAACCCTGAAACCCTGAAACCCTGAAACCCTGAAACCCTGAAACCCTGAAACCCTGAAATCCTGAAACCCTGAAACCCTGAAACCCTGAAACCCTGAAACCCTAAACCTTAAACCCGAAACCCTAAACCCTAAACCCGAAACCCTAAACCCTAAACCCTAAACCCTAAACCTAAGCACCTCGAAGAACCCAAGCCACAAACTCCCAAACTAACCGACAAACCCAAAAGTGCTCCCAAGCAATAAGCCCGAAACCCTAAACCCTAAACCCTAAACCCTGAACACTGAACACTAAACCCATGCCCAAGAAGTAAGCATCTAACTTCGATCATCCCCATGCTGCAGCTACATGATTGTCAGAAAAGTACGGCCACTTCGCCGGCTTAGGGTTTAAGGGTTTGGGGTTTAGGGTTTCGGGTTTAGGGTTTAGGGTCTAGGGTTTAGGGTTTAGGGTTTCGGGTTCTGTCACGGGGCTCTTGAGGGGAAAATGCAGGAGGAGCCCTAGAAGGGCACCCCTTCGTCTTATTCCGCTGTGTAACCCCTACATGTACCTTACGTAGTCCCTATATGCCTAAGTGGCCCCCAGAATAGCCCCGGCCCTAAACCCTAAACCCTAAACCCTAAACCCTAAACCCTAAACCCTAAACCCTAAACCCTAAACCCTAAACCCTAAACCCTAAACCCTAAACCCTAAACCCTAAACCCTAAACCCTAAACCCTAAACCCCCTAAACCCTAAACCCTAAAAAAACCCTAAACCCTAAACCCTAAAAAACCCTAAAACCTAAACCCTAAACCCTAAACCCTAAACCCTAAACCCTAAACCCTAAACCCTACACCCTAAACCCTAAACCCTAAACCCTAAACCCTGAACCCTGAACCCTGAACCCTAAACCCAAAACCCTAAACCCTAAGGTCCCATACAAGGTGAGTTTCTTGGGGCTCTCTGCAGAGTTCTCTCTCTTGGGGTGGGCACTCCATGGACATCTAGGAAGAGAGAGTGGAGGTGGACTTAAGCCCTGAACGCTACACCCTAAACCCTAAACCCTAAACCCTAAACCCCAAACCCCAAACCCCAAACCCTAAACCCCAAACCCCAAACCCCAAACCCCAAACCCTAAACCCTAAACCCCAAACACTAAACCCTAAACCCTAAACCCTACATAAACCCTAAGCTCGCTTCGAGGCTTGGCCGCGGCGGACGTGGGAGCTGCGAAAGGGCCAGCTGTTGCCGCAGGACTTTGGGGGGTGGGGGGGGGTTAGAGTTTAGGGTTTAGGGTTTAAGGTTTAGGGTTTAGGGTTTAGGGGGGGTGGGGCGGGGGTGGGGGGGGTGGGGGGTGGGGGGGGGGGTGGGGGGTGGGGTGGGGGGGTGGGGGTGGGGGGTGGGGGGGGGGGGTGGGGGGGGGGTGGGGGGGGGGGGTGGGGGGGGGGGGGTGGGGGGTTGGTGTTTCGTGTTTGGGTTTCGTGGCTTCGGGATCTTGAGTGGTGGCTGGGTTTTGAGGTTTTTTTGTTTTTGGGGGTTCGGGGGTTCGGCTTCAAGAGTGGGGGGCTTTGAGCGTCCAGTCCCACAGTCTGGGAGCTTTGTGGGAGTAGCCCCCAAAATGTGGCCTTCTGAAACTTAGGGGCTCAAGCTCTGGTCCGTTCAATACGTCGTGGGCGACGGGGGGAAGCGGGACCCTGATTTTAGGGTTTAGGGTTGAGGGTTTAGGGTTTAGAGTTTTTTGGACACTCCGGTTTCAGTGCTTAGGCGTTCGAAGTAGGTTTTGGGCTTTGGTTTTGGGGTTTAAGGTTTGCCCAGGCAGGGCTGTTGTTGCAGCGGTCTTGTGGCCCCGGGCAAAGTGGGATTTGGGGCGGTTCTGGGCGCCGAGGGCTCCGACTCTCTGTGCGGAGGGCGTTGATGGCTTCTAGGGCTTGGGGTTGGGGGCTGACTTGTTGGGAGCTCGCCCACAAAGCCCTAATCCTCAAACCCCAAACTCCCCAAACCCTAAACCCCAAGCCCTTAGCCCTAAACCCCAAGCCCTAAGCCCTAAACCTCAAACCCCAAACTCCCTAAACACTAAACCCCAAGCCCTTAGCCCTAAACCCCAAGCCCTAAGCCCTAAGCCCTAAGCCCTAAACCCTAAACCCTAAACCCTAAACCCTAAACCCTAAACCCTAAACCCTAAACCCTAAACCCTAAACCCTAAACCCTAAACCCTAAACCATCATCTGAGGGCCATCTCCAACCGCCCCTGGATCCCTTGCGGCCTCGCGTGGGGCCCGGATCCCAGCAGCAGGGGGGGGGGGGGGGGGGGCGGGTTCAAGGGCTGTAGGGTTAGGGTTTAGGGTTTAGGGTTTGGGGTTTGGGGTTTGGGGTTTAGGGTTTAGGGTTTAGGGTTAAAGCTTTCTGAGCTTTGTAGCTTTTAGGGTCCTGTTCAAATAACGGCGCGGCTGTGTTTCTTGTAATCACAGGCCCCGCAGCCTTGTAGTTTTAACCATGCAGGGCCAAACCTCTGAAGCAAAAACAGTCAACAATGAGCGAGCCTATTGCCCTATAAGGCCCCTCAAAACCCTAGACAACAAGACCTAAACACTTTCCTCGAAACCAAAAAAAACTCCACTCAAACCCCAAGAAGCTGTAACTTTGTAATGTAATAGGCAGCAACCCTAAAGCTTAAACCCCTAACCCTAAACCCCAAACCCGCAACCCTAAAGAGCCTCAAGAAGCCCGAAAAAAAAGCCCAGGGATCTCTGAAGGCCCATACATACCTAGGGTTTAGGTTTAGGGTTTAGGGTTTAGGGTTTAGGGTTTAGGGTTTAGGGTTTAGGGTTTAGGGTTTAGGGTTTAGGGTTTAGGGTTTAGGGTTTAGGGTGTCCCAGGCACCGGGTCCCGGAGGGTTGCTGGGACGGCGATTGGTATCCCATGGACTGCTGCCACCTGGCCATGTGAAACAGGGTTTGGTGGCTGAAGGGTTCAGGGTTTACGGTTTAGGGTTTAGGGTTTAGGGTTTAGGGTTTAGGGTTTAGGGTTTAGGGCTTGGGTGTAGGGCTTAGGGCTTAGGGTTTAAGGTTAAGGGTTTAGGGTTTTGTGGCTTCAGGGTTGTGGGTTGATTACTCTCATTTGTGAGTGTATCTAGGGTTCAACATAAATCTTGGTGCATGTATATTAAGTGTTGTCAATTTGGGGCTACGAGGAATAATAACCATAGTTGTGGCTTCTGGGTGCCTCGAGTCGTGATGGGGGTTTCGGCGTTTAGCATCTTCAGGGCCAGGGTTGACAAAGCCTTTTTCGGTTTATGGGCTGTAAGGGTTTGGATTTTTAAGGGTCCGTGGGGTCTTTAGGGCTTATGGGGTTTTAGCGCTTAGGGGCTTACAGGGGGGTCATGGTTTAGGGTCCTTATTACGGGCGTTAAGGTTAGGGGCTGGAGTGTTACTTTCGGGCAGTTGCATGGTCTCTTAGTGTGGGCCTTTAAAGGGACCCCATATATATCCCTTATGTACCCTCTACAACCCAAGGGCCCACACTTCAGAACTCTTTAAAGGAGGTCCATAGAACTACCCTTGGAGACCCTAAACACTAACCCCTAAATCCAAAACCCCAAAACCCCGAACTTCTGAACCCCCAAACACCACAACCCTGAACCCTAAACCCTAAACCCTAAACCCTAAACCCTAAACCCGAAACCCTAAACCCCTCAACCCCCAAACTCCTAAACCGTAAACACGGGACCCAGGCTTCTTTCAGCCCACGGACGCGGCGCTCCGGACCCAAGGCTGAAAGGGACAGAAGAGTAGGGTTTAGGGTTTAGGGTTTAGGGTTTAGGGTTTAGGGTTTAGGGTTTAGGGTTTAGGGTTTAGGGTTTAGGGTTTAGGGTTTAGGGTTTAGGGTTTAGGGTTTAGGGTTTAGGGTTTGGTCTATAGGGATGTCCAAAAGGCTTGGTAACAGCTCACTTGTGAACTTTATGCGGTCATGTATGGATACCGGCCGCCCTTTCGCAGGGCTGCAAAAGATCAGGCCTGGAGGTGTTGTTGACTGCTAAACCCTAAACCCTAAACCCTAAACCCTAAACCCTAAACCCTAAACCCTAAACCCTAAACCCTAACCCTAAACCCTAAACCCTAAAATCTAAACCCTAAGTCCTAAACCCTAAACCCTAAACCCGAAACCCTAAACCCTAAACCCTAAACCCAAAACCCTAAACCCTAAACCCTAAAACCTAAACCCTAAATCCCAAGCCCTAAACGGTCCAACCCGAGGGTGTTCGTGCCTCTTTGCCTTGGCTCTTACGCGCAGGTCGTCGAATTTGTCGGATGTACGGGTTATATAAGGTTGATCCTACCACGCGGATTTAGAGTAGGGTTTAGGGTTTAGGGTTTAGGGTTTAGGGTTTAGGGTTTAGGGTTTAGGGGTTTAGGGGTTTAGGGGTTTAGGGGTTTGGGGTTTGGGGTTTGGGGTTTAGGTTCCCTGTTTCAGCGCCTAGAAACCAAAAGGGCACCCTTCTGATCCCTAGGTTACTCTTGGGTGATTGCTGCAAGGTCCCATCAGTACCCCGTCCTCTGCCATCTGCTGCGGAATGTTGAGGGTCTTCAAGGCTTCAGGTGAGGAAGCGTTGGCAATCGAGTTTCAGGACTTCGTGAACAAGCAGGCAGAGGAGCCGGTGCGAGCAATTGCCGTCAAGCGCCATCTGCAGCATCTCTGTGGGCAGACACGGTTCAAGCAGCGGCTGGTGCTCCCTGATGGCCAGATGCTGTTGGATGACACCGTGTTGGATGGTCCTTTGGATGTCCAGCTGATCTTGCAGGCCTTTGAGCCCAGCTCACGGGACCAGATTGCCCAACTCCAGGAGGCTGCGTGCGAGAACAAGATCGCCGCAATGCAGCAGCTACTGGAGAGGCCACAGGACCCAGACTTGGAACTTGGTGAACGCTCGCCGCCTGCGCTGTTTTTTGCGTGTCACTTTGGGTGTACCGAAGCCGTGCGTCTGCTGATGGAGGCCAATGCTGACAAGAACAGGGCCATGAATGATGGCACAACTCCGCTGCTTGTGGCCATTGCAGAAGGCCACTTGGAAATCGTGCGGCTTCTGCTGGAGGCAGACGCAGACAAAGACGCTGGAGACAGTTATGGCAGAACACCGATGTTCGCAGCCTCGTATTACGGCCACTTGGAAGTTCTAATACTCCTGCTGGAGGCCGAGGCAGATAAAGATGCAGCAGACACTGATGGCAGAACGCCGATTTTCGCGGCCTCGCAGGGTGGCTACGCGGAAGTTGTGCGACGGCTACTGGAGGCCAAAGCTGACAAAGACAGGCCCGACAGCTATGGCAGAACTCCGCTGTTTATGGCCTCGCAGCAGTTCCACATCGATGGCAACCTGACAATTCTGCAACTGTTGATGGAGGCTGATGCTAACGAGGACACGCCCACACTAGCGGCATAAGCCTCGTGCGTGCGACCGCAGTGGGAGGCGGCTTCCAAATTCCACGGTGGCTGCAATCGACACTATAAGGAGCGTAGGCGCTTGTAAGAGGCCGAGTGTATGCTTCTGATTGGGACTTTACGAGTAAAAGTGCGCACCACTGTTTTCCACCCTACGCAATACCTAAACCCCAAGGATTGTTGAAGGCTTCCAGAGGGTTGTGTGGGACGTGTGTAGGGCGCATGTCGAACCATCTCGATCGTTTTTTGCCACTTCTTGGATCAATGTCAAATGTTTCACGGTTCGGGGTTTTCAAGCTTACGCGTACGCCCCTGCTGGATAGTTAATTAGTCAGGGATCTATATACGGATTTCTTATTGCAGGGCTTGCTGGGCGAGGGAGAGTATCATGAGTTTAGGGTGTAGCTCATTTGAGATCACGGGTTCAGGGTGTAGAGGTTCGGGGTGTTTCAGAGCTTGATAATATGCCAGATGTGTTCAGGAATGGACCGCCTGGTTTTTCCCAAGATAGCGTAGCTATTGGGGTTCTTATTCCCCAAAGAGTGTAGCAGTTGGGTTCTTACACATTAAGAATGTGAATCGGCACCCTAAACCCTAAACCCTAAAGGCCCTAAACCCTAAACCCCAAACCCCAAACCCCAAACCCGTAAGATCGGGCCAGCATTCCAGGGTGTTCAAAAGTGCTACACCCGCTAGCTGGAATCTTTGCCCCGGGGTCAGCACGCAGGATCAGGCCAGGGTTCTGTTTAGGGTGCTGCCCCCCACCCCCCTACCCCCCCCACCCGCACCCTCCCCCAAGCAACAAAAAAAAAAGCTACGCCCGCTATCTGGGGTCGTTTGTCGATAGGCTTTTTTTTTTTTTGGGGGGGGGGGGGGGGGGGGGTCGGGTGCATTGCGGTTTGATTTGTATTGCCACTGAGATGTAGTTACGCGGCTGCTAGATTTAATCAGACTTCGAAATGAGCTCTTGGTGTGCCCTTCTGGCTCTTAGTAGGGAATGAGGGAATGGGGTACCCTTTATAGTCCCTTAAATAATGGTATATATAGGGCCCTAATTCCTTCATTCTCTACCAAGAACCAGGGGGCCTTGCGTGGTGGTGGGTTTCTCAAGCATTGGATCCAGGGCACACGTACTAGTCGCGCTCCTCATCTTGAGAAGGTGAAACTATCGCCAGCAGGTCGATAGAGGGTCTCAACAAAACCGCCCTAAACCCTAAACCCTAAACCCTAAACTCAAACCCTAAACCCTAAACCCTGGACTCCCTAAACCCTACACCCTAAACTGACCATGCTTAAACAATACCAGGGTTTTTGGGAACCTATAGGGTTTAGCGTATGGGTTTGGGGTTTTGGGGTTTAGGGTTTAGGGTTTAGGGTTTAGGGGATAAGGGTTAGGGGTTTAGGGTATTACGGCCACTTAGTTTAAGCTCCTAGGTCCTAAATATCATGATGTCCTTCCTATGGACACCGAGCTGCAGTTCCTTTTCCGGGGTTAGGGTTTAGGGTTTAGGCTTCGGGTTTAGGGTTTAGGGTTTAGGGTTTAGGGTTTAGGGTTTAGGGTTTAGGGTTTAGGGTTTAGGCTTAGGGTTTAGGGTTCAGGGTTCAGGGTTTAGGGTTTAGGGTTTAGGGTTTAGGGTTTAGGGTTTAGGGTCTAGGGCCTTTAGACCATTACACAGCAAGTCCCGCAAACCGAGGATCTGCTTCAGCAACTCCACCGCGCGGCTGGCAGAGTTTTGAGCAGGTAGAGAGTCTCTGGGAGTCCAGTATAGGGGTCAAGCTCCTGGCGGCCGCGTTCGCGACATGTCTCGGTTTTGGTTTAGGGTTTAGTAGGGTTTAGGGTTTAGGGTTTAGGGTTTAGGGTTTAGGGTTTAGGGTTTAGGGTTCAGGGTTCAGGGTTCAGGGTTTTTTCAGGGCTTAAGAAATGTGGGTTTTTAAAGACACAATTACAAGAACCAACGAAGTAAGCTACCCAAAACACAAAGTCATAAATTCATACGGGCCCTTACGGCCCTCATGAACCCTAAACCCTAAACCCTAAGCCCTAAACCCCAAACCCCAAACCCTAAACCCTGAACCCCCGAGACCCTATAGACCCTAGGTATATTCAGGCGGTTCCTTACTTCAGGGGGGTATTGGGCTTGTTGGCTTGGCTTAGGGTGGCCTTCCTGCCTTTTCCCTGAAAAGCAACGGGGTTTAGGGTTTAGGGTTTAGGCTTTAGGGTTGAGGGTTTAGGGTTGAGGGTTTAGGGTTTAGGGTTTAGGGTTGAGGTTTTAGGGTTTAGGGTTTAGAGCTTCAAGTTTAGGGTTCAGGGGTGTAGTGGTTTAGGGTTCAGGGTCGAGGGCTTCTGGGTAGGGCCCTGGGGTGCCCTGTAGTTCGTCTTGGGCTAACGAGGATCCCTGACTGGGGGGCGTGTTTCTGAGATGTTGCCAGGCCTATTTCATGGACTGCTGCCGCTGGGAGACGGTGCAGGAGCAGCCCCCTCCCCCAATATCTTGGGCACACGGGGGCTGGCAAGGGCGTGCTGCATAAAAGCAAAGCCTTTAAGTTTATAAACCCTTCCACCTCCTCGTGTGGGTCTGGTTAGTTCATATATCCCTAAACGCTAAACCCTAAACCCCAAACCCTAAACCCTGAACCCTAACTAAACCCCATTTAGGCGCTTAGGGTCCAGTCGCCTGCTACCTCCACACAGGACTTGCAACCCTAAACCCTAAGCCCTAAACCCTAAATAATAAATTTAAACCCTAAACCCTATACCTCCACAGGACTTGCAGGCCTCCCTCGTCTCCTGCGAGCTGTCGAGGCATCATGCGGAGTGGCGCGGGGTGCAGAAAGGCTTCGACCAGCCCCTCCTCGAGCTTATTTCGGGTTTGGGGTTTAGGGTTTAGGGTTTAGGGTTTAGGGTTTAGGGTTTAGGGTTTAGGATTCAGGGTTTAGGGTTTAGGGTTTCGGTTTAGGGTTTGGGGTTTAGGGTTTAGGGGTTAGGATTCAGGGTTTAGGGTTCAGGGTTTAGGGTTTGGGGTTTGGGGTTCGGGGTTTAGGGTTTAGGGTTTGGGGTTTAGGGGCTAGGGTTTCAGGGGAGCGGATGGGGGCAGAAAAGGTACCGGGGTTTTTAAAAAACATGTTCTGCCGAGATCCTCGTAGCTAAGAGAGTCGGACAGTGGTGTAGGAGGAAAGGACGGCAAAGCCTGTCCTTCCTTCGTCCAGGGTCTCTGACACAAACGAGAGCCCGCTTTCTGTGGGGTTTGGGGGTTTGGGGGTTTGTTGGTTTAAGGGCGTTGCGCTGCAGGCGTGGCGAATTTAGTATCTAGGGTTCAAGGTTCCAGTCAAGGCTTCGGGCTCAGAGTGCCAGAGGCTTTAGGGTTTAGGTTGAGAGTCATCCTAGCTACAAGTTAAGCTGATTGGCCGGCGTACGCTGTCTGTGATGAGCCTTGAAGCATCCACTCATCTCTAGGTGCTTAGGGCTACCCAAAGCAAAGGGAGCAATGCATTTCACGTGTGTGTGTGTGTGTGTGTGTGTGTGTGTGTGTGTGTGTGTGTGTCTGTGTGTCAGACGCCGACTTAACTTTCGACGTAGGGGTCGGACGTGGATTTTGGGTTGACAAATTAAGGTTGTACATATGTATATATATATATAGAGTGTGTATACCTCTATATACTTTCAGAACCAGAGGTGCCGGTCCTGCTAGACTCGAGCACTCAACCCAGTAGTGAAGACCGTCATCGGAAGACTGGAAGCATGCAACTCAGAAAGCCATGGGCTGGCTGGCTTTTGGTAGGGAATGAGGGAATGAGGGCCCTATGTAATTCCTTAAAACGTATCCATAAGGCCCTTATTCCCTCATTCCCTACTAAGCCCCAGGGGTAGGCCCTGAGCAGCAAGTAGGATCCCTTCTGAAGAGGCTTGTTTTTCTTTGCAAGCACCCGCTGCCTCAGATTCCCTAAGCCAGAAGCCCTACTTAGACCAAGGTGCCTTGGGACGACGGATGAGCTTGACTGCACCTTGTCTACATAAACCCTAGCCCCCATCAACCCTCAACTCCCTCCTTGGGGTCCTTATTATAAGGGAATCCTACTTTTTTCGTACACCCCCCATATCCCTAATTTGTGTCAGTATCAGGGTTTGTGGACACTCAGCCCCCCCCACACTAGCATAATCACTATCAAGGTTCATTGGCGGTAAGCCCTCATTTGGGCATTTCCCACCATAAGGGTATATACCCCTTCGATACCCCAAGATACAACCATTCCTATCATGGGAACGCAGAGAAGTCCCTATCTTCGGAAACTCCAAATTTACCCGGTTTAGGGCTTTAGGGTTTAGGGTTTAGGGTTTAGGGTTTAGGGTTTAGGGTTTAGGGTCCCCGATTTTTCAGAAACCCCTACGTACCCGCACAAGGTATGAGCAAAACTGTGGCGCCGCTCTTCCCGACTGTGGGTTCCGACCCATACTGCTCCATGGGCGCGGCACGGCTGACGTAGGGTTTAGGGTTTAGGGTTTAGGGTTTAGGGTTTAGGGTTTAGGGTTTCGGCTTTAGGGTTTAGGGTTTAGGGCCCTAAACCCAAATTTACCCTAAACCCTAAACTCTACACCCGAAACTCTAAACCCTTAACCCTTAACCCTGCGGTTCGGTAATCACGAAGCCCTAAGAGTCCACCCTTCAGTCATAAGAAGCCTCTAAGGGTAGTTACATTCGTATGGGTCCTTGAAAGGGATCCCTTATATACCCCTTATATACCCTGTACCAAAAAATGGGCCCAGACATCAGAACCCTTGAAGTGAGGTAAGGGACCATATTGAGGCCCATGAAACGACCCTCAGAGAGACGAGGCGTAAGGGAGGGTTGAAGATTCGCCGTTGGTGGCTTCAGGAAGGGCGGTGTACGGGGCCCATTCGTCACCGAATGAGTCCTTTTCCTTAACAGCTATTTAGGAGTTAGGGTTGAGGGGTTAGGTTTAGGGTTTAGGGTTTAAGGCATGTGGGTTTAGGCAATATGGGCT